CATTTGAGGGGAAAACTCTATGTTTTCCCCTCAAATGGCTGTGCCCCGCCCCAGCGTGATGACGTCACAGGGAAGTGATGTACATGCGGCGCGCGCTCGCACTGGGAGGCAACACAAAGTCCCCCGCTGGCACAGGTGAGTACATTTGGCAACCCTAGTGCACTGTTTTCCAAAGCTGAAATAGCCATAACCCATCTGTACTCAGGAAACTTTAGTTACCCAAATGTTTGTATGATTCATGTGAAATATATTATCTAGTTCGGCCATCAGACTGGAGCTTAGGGAGAGCACCGAGGGCACAAAGCAACAAGTCTATGCCTCTCCCAGTAATATCATCATTGCAACACAAGTTTCTTTGGCTTGGTGTGGCATCCAGTGAAGTGGAATGCAAGTGAGGCGTTCACAACGCCATGATGTAATATTTTGTTTTTCCGTTTTGATTGCCAGATATCGTGGGAGAAAAAGGGGGAGAAAGACCTGGATGGTTGTACATCCTCCATAAGGGCTAGCTTCCCTTTCTGTACCTTCACCCCTCATTTTCAGAGAGCAAATAAATAGTCCCTGTGTCTGGGAATGCCCTGACTCGGATAGCCTAGGCTAACCTGATCTGGTCAGATCTTGGCTGCTAAGCAGGGTTGGCCCTGGTTAGTACATGGATGGGAGACTACCATGGAAATCTAGGGTTGCTACACAGAGGCAGGCAATGGCAAGCCACCTCTGAATATCTCTTGCTTTGAAAACCTGATAAGGTTGCCATAAGTTGGCTATGGATACACACAAGCACACGCAGAAGTGGGGACCAGTGTTCCCTCTAAGCTGAGTTACTGTGAGCTAGCTCACAGTTTCTTAGGCTCCGGCTCACGCATCTTTGTCTTTGCTCAGGAAGGAGGGCTCCAGAGGAAACTGATTTATGCCCCAGCCAAATCGCTCACTCACCACTTTTATGCCAGTAGCTCACAAAGTAGAACAAGACTCCACAGCTTAGAGGGAACATTGGTGGGGACCTGCAAGAAACTTGCGGGGAGGGTGAATCTTATCCCTCTTTGCTTACTTCCCACTCCCCACACCCCTTTTCTCGCTTTCTCTCTCTCTTGTTCTCACTCATTTGGGGGGGAAATGCTCCTCCAAGTGTAAATGGTGCGTTTTGCACTGTTTGCACTGGGAGGAGATGGCATTGGCGTTGAGCCCAAGCATGAAGCAGCACCCTCTGTTGCTTTGGATTTGGGAGGGGGTACTCCTAAGCCCAGAGCTGCGGTGGCTCAAGTGGTTAAGATGCTGAACTGCAGGATGTGGAAGGTCAGTAGTTCAGCAGTTCGAGACCCAAGTTGCCGCATGACGGAGTGAGCTCCCGTCTCTGGTCCCAGCTCCTGCCAACCTAGCCGTTTGAAAGCAAGAAATTGCAAGTAGATAAATAGGTACCACCTCGGTGGGAAGGTAACAGCGTTCCGTGCTCCTTGGTGTTTAGTCATGCCGGCCACATGACCACAGAAACATCTTCGGACAGCGCTGGCTCTTCGGCTTTGAAACGGAGATAAGCACCGCAACCCTAGAGTCGGACTCGACTGGCTTTCGAGCAAGGGAACCTTTACCTTTACTCCTAAGCCCAGCGAGGTTCCCAGCCTCTGTGGCTGGGCCTGCTGCAGCTTCTCCCCCCATCCTTCCTGCTGCTGTCCCCAGACCCAGAGAGGTTCGCAGTCTCTGTAGCTGGGCCCTCTGTCCCCCTGTCCATTCTCCCCCTGTCAATTGACGCTCCTGCTATCCCTGGGCCTGGTGAGGCTCCTAGCCTCTGCAACAGGGCTCCTGTGGCTCCCTACCCATTGCTGCCACTCCTGCTAAATGCAAACCTAGGGGGTCACTCAACATTGCTGAAAAACCTGTTTGAGGTAAGTGTGCCCCCTGTCTGCAGATTTAGGTATCTGCAGATAGGGGGCATACTTGGGAAAGTGTGTGTGTGTGTGCATGTGTGTGTGCACGTGTACTCCTGGTATATACAGGGACTCTGGGGCAAGTGATGCTCTGTCATCTTGGTGCCATCTTTGTTGGACCTCCTGATGGCACTGGTATTTCTGGACACTGTGTGATACAGAGTGTTGGACTGGATGGGCCTTTGGCCTGATCCAACATTGGCATCTCTTATGTTCTTGTTGGGGGATGGAGCCCGGGGAGGACAGGGACCTCAATGGGGTGCAATGCCAGAGAAGCCACCCTCCAAAGCATCCGTTTCCTCCAGGGAAACTGATCTCTGTAGTCTGGAGATGAGCTGTAATTCCACGGGGATCCCCAGGTCCCACCTGGAGGCTGGCATCCCTAATCTTGTCCTGTCTTTCTGCATCCACTCATGTGATCTGTTTTTATTGTGAGGCCTTTGTGGTGCTTGTGAGGCCTTTGTGGTGCTTGATATATCTGTATGTACTGAAGATTACTAGCAAGAGAGAGGGACCCTGCCATAGGTGATGGATACTCCCTGTCTTAGAAGGCAAATTTACAGGTGCCTGAATGGCCTCCTGCTGGCCTCTCCAAAGAAACTGGCACTTGCTGATAGTTGTTAGGGTTGCCAGCCTCCAGGTGGGGCTTGGAGATCTCCCAGAATTACAACTGATCACCAGACTCCAGAGATCAGCTCCTCTGGAGAAAATGGCTGCTTTGGAGGGTGGGCCCTTTGGCGTTATACATTGCTGAGATTTCTCCCTTCTCCATACCCCACCCTCCCCAGGCTCCACCCCAAAATCTCCAAGAATTTCCCAACCTGGAGTTGGAAACCCTAAGAGCTGTACTTGTGAACTGTCTTCATACGACTACCCTAGACAGCAGGTGTGAGTCCTCAGCTGTTCAGAGCCGAGAGCTGAGAGGTTATAACAAACCTCTCTGATGGTTTTCAGGGTCCAAAGGAAGAAGAAAAGGAATTGAGTTCATCCTCAGCCCCGAAGCTATTGTGGCCGTTGGAGTACCTTGGGATCAGGGATGAATATATCTTTCAGGGGATGTATTGGATAGGGAAGGTTGCTCAGTATTTCTGGTCTTCGTATTGATACCCTCCCCTCAATAAGTTACTGAGCAACCACCATTTGAAAACCACTGTATTATGTCTGTTATATTTTTAAAAGAACTATAATCCTACCAATTCTTTTTTTAAAAAGAAGGGAAACCCCCTTTTAAACTACTTTTAACCAGGTTTGCTATATGAGTTTAATAAATCTCAAGGCTACTGTTTCTCATTGCTTTTACAGCTATAGAAATGTAAAGTCAATTTGATTGGCAGTGCAGATTTGAAAAAACATTGTATTTGGGTGACAGCTGTAGTGGATGGATGCAGAGTGCTTGCATTTCAATACAAAATTCTTTTACAAAGGCAATCACTTCAACGCACGGTGGATGCACAAAAAGCATCATCTGTTTTTGCTACCAATCTCCCTTGAATTTGGTGTGTATATAGTATCAAATTCTCTAGGCGGTCATCCCCTGGGCACTATCACTGGGGTTTATTCTGGAGCAATGCTTGGTAGATTGCATGCCTGAGCTTGTGAAACCTTGCATCCATTCCTTTGATCTCTTGAGCCAGTTGGGTGTGTGAGCCAATTTCGTGTAGTGGTTAAGTGCACGGACTCTAATCTGGGAGAACTGGGTTTGATTCCCCACTCCTCCATTTGCACCTGGCTGGATGGCCTTGGGCATGTAATGTATTGTAAAGGCTTACATGAATCACCTCATTCACCTCCCAGGTTAAGCTTGAGCCAAACGAAGGCTCCTCAGAACTAACTTCCTATTGGTCGCTCTTCAACAGCGACCAATCAGAACTGTTCCAGTTCCCAGCGAGGGAAAGACTCTCATTGGACATTATCCGCACAACCTCATTGGTTGTTTATTGTAAATAGGCGTGGCTATGTTAGCCCGGGAATGTTTAAAAGGAGCCTAGCTCCCAATGTTACTGGTTATGAATGCTTTCAAGTGCTTGTTCGTTACTTCAATAAAGCTGATTCACTTTGCTGATATCACTCTCCGGATCTTTGTTAGCGGCGATCTAACAGGGCAAGCCGTAGTTCTGATAAGAGCTGTTCTTGAAAAAAGAGCAGTTTTTGTCAAGAGCTCTCTCAGCCCCACCTACCTCGCAGGGTGTCTGTTGTGGGGAGGGGAAGGGAAAGGAGTTTGTAAGCCGCTCTGAGACACCTTTGGGTAGTGAAGGGCGGGGTATAAATCCTATCTCTTCTTCTTCTTCTCCGTCTCTTGGAGCTTGTTTTTGTGGTGGTGGTGGTGGTGGTAGTCCCTGGCCTGAAGGACGCCCGTCTTGCCTCGACCAGGGCCAGGGCTTTCTCTGGTGGAACATGCTTCCCATTGAGATCAGGTCCCTGTGGGACCTTTCTCAATTCCACAGGGCCTGCAAGATGGAGCTGTTCCGCCAGGCTTTTGGCTGAGGCGGCAGGTGTCTGTATATGGCCTCCCTGAGGTGTCTGTCCCCTGCCTCCCATCCAATAATACCTGGCTACTCATCTGTACCAACGAGCCAGGGAACCTCTCCCAACCACTCACTTTCTGACATTGGGCTGTGACTGTCAATTTTAACGTTGTATTATTGTGTTTTAAAGTTTTGATCATATTTATTGTATTACCAATATGATGTTCTCCGCCCTGAGCCTGCTCACAGGAAGGGCAGGCTACAAATATATAGGAATAAACAAACAAATAAATGGTAATGTGTCAGCACTGTGTCAAAGTCTGAAATAGATCAGACACAGGCAGCTCTTAAACAAGTGAAGTCAGCTTTATTGAACCAGAACAAATCAACACAAGAAACCATAGGAGCCTGAGCTCCTTTTAAACATCCCGGGCTGGGAAAGCCACGCCCAGGTCAATGGTAAGAACCAATCATATTAACACGATAAAGACCAATCACTGTTGTTCCCTCCAGTCACAATCCTTAGCTCTGATTGGCTAGTTGGCAGAAGCAGCCAATCAGAACGTGCACTCTAGGATACCAGGCTGTAATATACTGTAACTGAAGCGTAGGCATGCAGTAGAAATCCTAATACATAACAGTCTAACAAGGAAGTGTCACACAATAAAAAAAACCTGTTATCCTCCCTGCTCCTGATTTTATTTTTTGCAGTGCTAAGGGAGATATGTCAGCTGATCCGTCTGGACGAAACTGTATTGGAACATGCTTTGTGCTCCCGTACTGTGGAGACCCATCAGGAGAAGATGGTGACAACTTTGAGGGTCTCTCAAGTAAGTGTGCTGTAAAGATGTGAATGCTGTTTTGGGGCTATTGCTTGTTTCCTGTTGAGAAAGGATCTCAGCTGTGTTATGCTTGCATGCATGCTCCTTTTGTGGATGCTCAGGCCTATTTCCACAACCGTATCAATGTCTGTTAATCTCACAAAAAGCCAGTCACATTGTCCCATGGTTTAGTCCAGGGGTCCCCAACATGGTGCCCATGGGTGCTGTGGAGCCTGGTAACACCTTTCCTAGTGCCCACAAAGTATTTGTGAAAAGTGGGTGGGGCTGGGAGAGGCTATTGGCCATTGGAGATTAGATTGGCTGGACAGATTTTTTTAAATGTTGTTTTGGTAGCAGCTGCCACCACAATACAAGGATTATCATGATATGACCAAAGGTAAGCTGCAGCAGCCATTTTGTAGCTGGTTCCACCTCCTGTGGCAGCCATTTGGTGGCAGCCATTTTGTTTCTGCACCCACCACACAGAATTCCAGAAGTGTCCACTGGATCAAAAAGGTTGGGGACCTCTGGTTTAGCCACAGAGTGCTGGCTTCCAGCACTCTACTGCAAACATTAAGCAGTGTTGTAGTACTGCAGGGGGTGGTGTGCTGCCGCAAAAGGAAAGAGCCCAGCCTCTGGCTCCAGTCCCCTTCGTCCATTTTCCCTAAAGCCTCTTTTGCCGTTCTTACCATCCGTTCGGCCTGGCCATTAGACGCCGGATGGAAAGGGGCCGAAGTCATTTGGCGGATGCCATTACTCGTGAGGAAGTATCTGAACTCCTCAGAAACAAATTGAGGCCCGTTGTCACTGACGATGACGTCAGGCAACCCGTGTGTGGCAAAAAGGCGGCGAAGCGCATGAATTACGGCTAAGGAAGTGGTCGACTTCATGTGTACAACTTCTAACCATTTAGACATTGCATCTACGACAATCAAGAACATTTGGCCTTGGAGAGGGCCAGCAAAATCTATATGCAACCTGGCCCAGGGTTTCCCAGATGATTCCCAGGCTTGGGGTGTAGCGTGTGGGGGATCAGGTCTAAGATCTCTTTGTCCAGCCCCGGCCACCAGACATACCCTCTGGCCAATGCTTTGGTGTGCACCATCCCAGGGTGACCCTCGTGCAGGGATTCCAATACTCTCTTCCTGAGCTGGGCAGGGACCACCACCCTATTGCCCCATAGTAGACACCCCTTGGAAATCGAGAGTTCGTTTTGGCGGCTTTTGTAAGGTGCGAATTCAGGCTCAATGCTCCCAACCGGCCACCCCCTTTCCCAGGCCGGTGCTCTAAGTCAAAATCATAAGCCTGCAAAAATATCGCCCATCTAAGCATGCGTGGGGACATGATGTTTGGCAATTGCTTATCGGGCGCAAAAATCCCCAGTAGCGGCTTGTGGTCAGTGACCAGCAAAAATCGTCTGCCAAAAATAAAATCATGGAACTTTTTGACAGCCGCTACCAACGCCAGACCCTCCTTGTCTATCTGGGCATAGTTCCGCTCTGCCGCAGATAGTGATCTAGAATAAAAAGCGATAGGCGCTTCGCTCCCATCAGGCATCAGATGGCTTAAAACTGCGCCTACTCCAAAAGGTGAAGCGTCAGCAGCTAACACCAGGAGCTTGTGTTCATCATAATGCGTGAGTACGGCATTAGATGTCAGCAGCTCCTTGACTCCCACAAAAGCCTTTTCCTCGGCCTGCCCCCACTTCCATTTTGCCTCCTTGTGCAAAAGCGCGTGCAAAGGGGCCGCCACTGATGCCTTATGCGGTAAAAACGCATGATAAAAATTCAGGAGTCCTAAAAAGGATTGGAGCTCCTTCTTACTCACCGGCCTGGGGGCGTTTTGGATTGCAGATACCTTCTCATCCGTGGGGTGGACTCCCTCTGCGTCAATGCGAAACCCCAGGAAGTCCACACTTTCCACCCCGAGCGTGCATTTTGAGCGCTTAACTCTGAGACCGGCATTTTGAAAACGCCTGAGGACCTCTTTAACCCGGTCCAGTAGTTCCTGTTCAGACCCGCCCGCAATCAGCACGTCGTCAAAATAGGGCACTGTGCCAGGTACCCCCCTTAGTAGACGTTCCATGAGGCCCTGAAAAATCCCAGGTGCTACGTTGACCCCGAATTGCAGCCTGTTCACTTTAAAAGCCCCTTGGTGGGTTACAATTGTTTGGGCCTCGGCAGCCTCCGGGGTGACAGGCAACTGCTGGTATGCCTGGGCCAGGTCAAATTTGGCGAAAATCTTGCCACCCCCCAGGGAAGCCAAAATGTGGCTTATTACCGGGACCGGGTACGAATGTTGCTGCAGCGCCTTGTTAATCGTACATTTGTAATCGGCGCATAGTCGTATGGACCCATCTGATTTGACAGGGGTTACGATCGGGGTCTCCCATTTGCTGTATGGTACTGGCTCTAAAACCCCTTGCTCAACTAGTTTGTCAATCTCTTTTTCCACCTTATGTTTGAGAGACACAGGTACTTTCCGATACTTCAACCTAATAGGTTTGACTGACGGATCTAAGTCAAACGCAACCGGGGGGCCCTTGTACCTCCCCAACCCTTCGGCAAATACATCAGGGAACAGGTCGTACAGCATGCCCCATTTATTTTCAGACATCCTGTTAATCCCAGAAATACCAATGCCCAATGGCTCAAACCAATCTAACCCTAGCAGGTTAACCCGGTCTCCCTCTGCAATCAGGAATGACAGTTTAACACATTTCCCCTTATACTCAACAGTAACAGAGTCCCGTCCGGCCAAGGGAATTCGGTTGCCCTGGAAGTCGGACACTCTGGTTCCCGCAGGCTGGAGCCGCCGCCGGCTTCGGTTCGGGAACAACTGGCGCCAGGACGCGGCAGAAATCACCGTCACGGACGATCCTGAGTCCACCTCCATTGTACAGGGTCGGCCGTCGAGGAGTGGAGTCACGGTGATCTTGCCCTGGCTGCTGGTGCGATTTACGGCCGATGCGCTCGACAAGGTCGCCGTCAACTGGCAGCTTGCTTCCGATGCTGAGGAACGGGTCTTGCCTTGGGTGCTGACTGGAGTGCCCCTCTGCGCTGACCGGTTGTTAGTTGAGGGATCCTTCTTTGCTGATCTGCAGACTCTGGCCAGATGACCACGCCGCCCACACGCTCTGCAGTCGACATCACGAGCCCAACAGGAGTCGCGCTGGTGTTTCCCGCCACAACCGGAGCAAGGCTTGACGTTGGTAGTCTTCGCTGGGGTCCGCTTGCCTCGAACCGCGTTGACGTCATCATCCGCGTCTTCGCCCTCGCTGTCTCGTTGAGCGTGTACACTGGGCTCTGCCACCCGCTGGCGGACCTCCTTCGTGGACTTCTCCGCTGCTTCCGCGGCCATGGCCTCTTCGTAGGCCACTGCCCAGGTCAGGGTGGTGCGGGCGAACAGCCTCTGTTGCAGCCTTTCATCTTTGAGACCGCAGACGAGACGGTCTCTGAGGGCTTCCTCCACGTTGTGGAAATTACATGGTCGTGCGGCTTTGCGAAGGGCCGCCACGAAATCTGCGATGGTCTCGCCTCCGGCCTGGTTCCGCTTGTAAAAAGCGTGCCGGCAGGCGATCTCCGACGGTTGTGGAGAATAGTGAGCCTTAAGCTTCTCAGTGATGTCAGCGTAGGTGACAGTCTTTATATCAGTTGGGGCCACCAACGACCTGGCTATGTCGAAGGTCCCCTTCCCGCAGGAACTCAGGAGGCACGCCCGTTTCTTGGCCTCGTCTGTAATGTCGTGTGTCTCCAGATGGAACTCGAACCTGGATAGGTAGGAGTCCCAGTCTTCTGAGGAAGGTTCGAAGCACTCGAACTTCTGGCTTCCAGCCATCGTGGGAGACTTGGGCACCGGAGCTGGTGGCGCCTCCGCCGGATCGGCTGCTGTGCTCTGCTCGCTTTCTTCCGAGTCCGAAGTGTGGATGTCCGCAGGGCTGCCTACCTGCTCTAATATCCCATCCTCGTCGCCAATTGTTAGATCGCACTAACAAAGGACTCTTAGAGTGATTCAGCAAGTGATTCAGCTTTATTGGAAGTAACGAACAAGCACTCAACTCAGTAAGAAACCAGAACAGAAAACAGTGGGAGCTTATGCTCCTTTTAAACATAACCGGGCTAATGTAGCCACGCCTATTTACAAATAACAACCAATGAGATTGCTTAGTTAAGGACCAATGAAAGTCTTTCCCTCGCAGGGAAAAGGCACAGTTCTGATTGGTCGCTGTTATGAAGCGACCAATAGGAAGTTCGCTCAGAGGAGCCCTGGTCTGGCTCGAAGCTTAACATAGGAGTCCTATGAGGTGATTCATGTAATCGTTTCAATACATTACACTTAGTGTAAACATTGGGGCTGCTAAAAATGTTGCAGCCCAAAACAGGAGAAAACAAGAAAAAATGCAAGGGGGAAAGCATCTGAAGTGCCACAATAATTTAACCAAAAAATCACAGCACACTTTGAGGTACTTTTTCACAGCCATCTACAAAGACATGTCAAGAGAAATATACAATGAAGCATGACATAGCAATAATGAATGCTGCAACATGAATCTCATCGAGAAGTTGCTTATGGACATGTAAGTGATTCATTCATGATAATCTTAAAATATCTATTTATTTATAGAGCAATAAAGTCCACGTTCTGAAAGCAAACACTGAGTAAAAGTCTTATAAAATTCTTTTTTATATGCCTGTAAAAGTCATAACATATACATATATATATATATATATATATCTCACATTAAATACATAAAGGCAGATATATGGGACAAGCAATTGTAAAACTACTCTGAACTGCCAGCTGGCTCATAACAAACTGAGCCTTGATAGGACACCCTGTACTCATTTCCTCCTTGCCTCTCTCTACAGCAGAGGTCCCTGGCTTGGCGTCCATGGGTGCCTTGGTGCCTGCTGATACTTTTCCTGGTGCTCGCCAAGTGTTGTTAGAAAGTGGGTGTGGCCAGGTGTGGCTTTTGCCCTTGGAGATTTGATTGGCAGTGCAGATGTGTAAAAACATTGCTTTGGCAGCAGCTGCCACCATAGCACAAGGATCTCCCATGTGTGACTGAAGGCAGGCCCATAGCTACAATGGGGCATTTCGGGGCCTTGCCCCCTAAGTAAAAGCCCTGCCCCCCGATTAATTTGCATGTTTCCCAAAGGCTTGTGGGGATGCTTTTGAAAGACTCACCATGACCTAGGTGGTATATAGCAGGACTGGGCTAGCAGAAAGGGGGATGGTTGGTGAAGCGCTGAAGGTACTGCTCTTGAAACGTTAATTTTAACTGCCCCCTTAAAAATGTAAATACCCCCCATGAAAAAAATTCTGGCTATGGGCCCGACTGAAGGTAATCTGCAGCAGTCATTTTGTGGCTGGCTCTGTCTCCTGCAGCAGCCCTTTTGTGGCAGCCATTTTGAGCTGTGCCCACCATGTTGCGTCAGAATTCCAAAAGTGCCTGCGGGCTCAAAAAGGCTGAGGACCAATGTTCCCTCTAAAGCTGAGTTAGTATGAGCTAGCTCACAGTTTTTTAGCCTCTGGCTTGGCTCTGGAAGGATGGCTCCAGAGCAAACTAATATGCAGTAGCCAAATCGCTCACTCACAACTTTAATACCGGTAGCTCACAAAGTAGAATTTTTGCTCACAAGACTCCATAGTTTAGAGGGAGCATTGCTGAGGACCCCTGCTCTACAGGAACTTGTAGCATGACTGTGTTGGCACAGTCAGTACTTCCTTTGGAACCAAAATTATATGAAGACTTAAGTTCAGCTTTTCTGCATGACCATCAAACAGTTCAAAGACACAGATCCAAATAGATTCCAAAACATATAAGCATATTTAGAACTGACGTCCTGTTTTTCATAGGGTTGCCAGGTCCCCCCTGGCCACCAGCGGGGGGTGGGGGTATAGAGTTGCCAGCTCCAGGTTGGGAAACTCCTGGAGATTTAGGGGTGGAGCCTGGGGATGACAGGGACGTCAGTTGAGTACAATGCCGTAGAGTCTACCCTCCAAAAGCAACCACTTTATCCAGGGGAACTGATCTCTGTAGTCAGGAGATTAGTTGTAATTCCAAGGAATCCCCAGGTCCCACCTAGAGGCTGGCATCCCCAGTTTCACCTGTGCATACCAACTGTGTGGAAAGTGTTTTAGTGTGAAGTTAGCTTGGGGCTGATGTTTGTCTCAATGGTACAAATAAGCAGTTAACACAAGCTATTTCGGATATGGGAACAGGGTTGTCAGCTATGTGTTGGCAAATAACTGGAGACTTTGGGGGGTGGTGGAGCCTGGGGAGGTTATTTTAACTAATTAATGAATCTCTTCTTTTGATTTAGTTATGAAGGATTTATTATCCGCTCCTCCCAATAGCCTTAATCTTATTAATTTTCATGGCACAGTCCTTAAGAAGCCAGATGCATTTATTAATAGCTATGAATAGGGTTATCGTGGTTTATCTCATTAACATTCTGTATTTTGATTTTCAAAAGTGTACACTAAACAATTTTGCAAGGTTTTCTTATGCTCTGTATTTTCTGTATTTATGTATATTACTAGAGTCTTTTTGTTCTGCACCCCGTTTATGGAATTAGGGCAGCCTGCTGGCCTTCTGGAGGTTAATTAATGTCCTGTTTGTTCCAGCAGTAGGGTTGCCATCTCCAGCTTGGGTAATGCCTGGAGATTTTGGGAGTAGAGCCTAGGGAGGGTGGGGTTTGGAGAGGTGAGAGACCTCAGCATGGTATAATGCCATACAGTCCAGCTTCCAAAGCAACCTTGTTCTCCAGGGAAACTGCTCTCCATTGCCTGGAGATCAGTTGTAATTCTGGGAGATCTCCAGGGCCAACCCCACTCAGAGGGCCTTTAAGGTAGTAGGCTAAATTGCCTGTACACATCAGCATCTGTTTTCTCTGCTGGAGTCTCAATGCATTGAGTTTTTCTGTAGGTATTTTAATTGGTTTAATTGCTTTATGCGAAAAATGTAGATTGCTTTATGAATCTTATTTGGCCAAAGAGATGGTGCATAAAATAAGATGCTGGGAATGAATGGTCTGTGCTGGTGATGGAACCAATAGATGGGTCTTCAGCATGGATAAAATCCTACTGGTAGGACTCCAGACGAATTGAAGAGAACTACATTCCTTGCTTAGTAGATAATGAAATCTAGACTTCTTGCTAGATACATCAGCACTACTTATGCAGTGTATATTCCTGCTATAGGTGTCCATCAAACAGTTTCAAAGCAGTGCAGATTATTCTCACAAATGTACAGCTGTATGTACAAATGAGGGGTACATGGGGGAGTCATTATATAAAAACTGATTGCATACGTGCAAGAGAGAGTTCACAGAATGGTCTGTACCCTAGCTCTGGGGCTAGACCAATGCTGGAGCAATGGTTAGCACTTCTTCTGAGGATATTCAATCTTAGCTTCCCCAGGTGCCTGGATTTCACTCACTAATAACTTCTGTTTGTTTCTTAGGGTTATTATGCACGGGATGCCCTTGCAAAGAATATCTATAACCGGCTATTTAACTGGCTAGTTAACAGGATCAACGAGAGCATCAAAGTGAGTGCCATGCACCAACATGAATGAAAAATGTTCTGTGGATCCCTCCTCCTTCTCATGCTACACTCCCCTTTAAAAAGGCTCATTCTAGATATTCCTGAAGGAGTTATGTTGTCTCTTGGAGTTGCGTGAATTCCATAAATCAATAATGTATTGTGTGAAGAAGTACTTACTACTCCGAGTCCTGAACCTAATCCCACCGCTGCCACCATGTATAATGCGGGCTTTGGGTTCTCTGCCAAGATACTTGGCTTCAGGCTCTACACTCCAGTTCAGTAAATCAGGCAAAAGTACTTTTATTATCAAAGAAAGGCAAGGCAACCTTGATTAACAATAATTAGATAAACAAAGGAAAATTCAGCATCCTTCAATGGTTGCCAAAATACAAATAGTCATTAAAAACAGCTGAAACTTACTCAAACTCCAAAAGATCCTGCCCCAAAGACACGTGCTTCCCTTCCCCCTCATCTTTTTGGCTTTTGTCCTTGGAAGGACCTGTTACGACACTACCCCTCCCTCTATCCAGTCCAGCTGTTAATTAAGATATCTCAGCTGTGCAACTCTTGTGAAGCAAAAGTTCCTGCAATGACTTACAGGGTTGATCCTCCCCCTCCTGTCCTCATTCAGTTCTTCAATGTTGCTGTTTTACATATAAGCTGGTCTCTTCCTTCCAATGGTGCTCTTTCTTTAATTGTTAAATAGTACCTGTGGGGGACCTCATTTGGATCAGGGCTGCTTCATTGGGTGTATGTGAACTTTTTCTCCGTCCCACCCTAAATATCACCCTGGAGTTGCTATTGAAACCCCCCCCCCCCGGAAAAACATACAGTGGGGAAAATAGTGGGGTTGGGGGCAGGATTAAGGGTTCAGAAAATAGCAGAGGAAGGAAAGCGGTGGCAGTGATCGAAATTCTCTGTAGCTACTGTTTAGTATGAATCTTGGAGCATCTCACCTGCTTCGACACTCAGTCAAAGAATTATGAGGACTTGTTAAATTGAAGTAAATGGTAGCTAGATGTTATGGTCTGGATCCCAGCTATATTTTTCACTTGTCAAAGACACTTTCACCAGTGGAAAAATGGGGAGGAAGTTTTGCCAGTTCCATCATGCCATTGTAGATCCTTGCTTTGTTCATTTGTTTGGAGTCTGGGACTCCCCTTTTTTCTTCATAGTCACTGTAAAGGATAGTTGGTAGATTTCTCCCATTCTTTCAGTGCTGCAAGCCAAACGGTGCAGTAGTGAAAGTGGTAATTTTGGATAAGGAGAACTCAGTGTTCAGAGCCCTTATTTGACTAAGTTCACCGGGTGGCCTTCACTAAGTTACTGTGTCAACTTGCCCTAACCTTTCTTGCCTTGTTGAGAGATAAAGTCATAATGCTGTTTTGAGGTCCATGGAGAAGGGGTAGGGTACAAATATGGTAAACATTTATTTAGGGGAGTAGCATTTTAATCTGTGTTTGGGACTGAGAAACCAATATTGGTTAATGGTGGTACATATTCTTCTGTAAGTGTCTGGAAGGACTGTGAACTGTGAATGCTTTCAGACAATCCAATGGCCAACTGCTCTTTGATTTCTTAGGTTAAAACAACTGAGCGCAAGAAAGTGATGGGTGTTCTGGATATTTACGGCTTTGAGATTTTTCAGGTGAGTGATGGATATCCTTGGAACTTGCTTCTTAAAGCAAAGATCTGGTGAGAGCCTTGGGCAGTGGACCTGGAATTGACTGAAGGCCCCTGGTACCGGAATCTGTGAAAAGCCCTGATGTGGTTTTTAGTTGCAGGGGCATTAGCAAGAACTGAGTGAGTGGGAAGTTAGGCCTGGCATACATTTACAGAGAGTGGGATGCATATTTCAGAAGGGTAGCCCATATTTCAGAAGGGGAAGGCGGCACGGTATAGCCTGATCTCATCAGATCTTGGACGTGGGGTTGGTACTTGGATGGGAGACAACCAAGGAAGACTTTGGAGAGGAAGGCAATGGCAAGCCACCTCTCCTTCTTACCTGTCTTGAAAGCCCCTTGTTGGGGCTGCCATAAGTTGGATGCAACTTGAAGCATTTATGTACATGGCCATGTTAGTTTGTTGTGGCAAAAAAGAAGTGCATTGCAACTCTCTAAAGGCCCATGGAAGCTTATGTTTCAATAAAGCTTGTTAGTCTTGCCCTGACCGAGATAGCCCAGGCAAGCCCAATCTCATCAGATCTCAGAAGTGAAGCAGGGCTGACCGTGGCAAGTACTTGGATGGGAGACCTCCAGAGAATATCAGGGTTGGGAGGCAGATGCAGGCTATCAAGCCACCTCTCTGAACATCCTCCTTGCCCCAGTAGGAATTGCCAGAGGTCGCCAGACTTCCAGGCATGGGCGCGCACACACACACACACAAAATGCAAATATACAAAAAAACGTAAAGCTTGTTAGTCTTTAAGGTGCCAGAAGGCTTTAAGGAGCCACATACAAGCAGTCCTTAACCTGGCTGTTAAATACTGGGTTCAAGACGCATTGCTGTGAACAGCTGTACTTTATTTAGTGATTTCAGGAACAAGACTGAAGACTCTAGGGTAACTGCCCTGTTTAAGTAGCATGCAAAAACCACACCCAAACACACCCCACTCCCAATGATAGGCTATTTATATAACATTGTCTCCTCATTGGTTACCTCTATTTGCATAACATTGCCTTCTCATTGGTTACCTCTAGAATCCTGGTGGTCTATTGTTCCAGAGCTCTAAGCTCAGTCCGTCTTTTGGACAGACCTGTGAGATTCCAGCCCAATACATAACACTGGGACTGTGCAATTTTATGCTTTTCGCTTTCAACCTGTCTCTTTCTCTGTCTTTTCTTTGTAGAAAAACAGCTTTGAGCAGTTCATTATCAATTACTGTAACGAGAAGCTGCAGCAGATTTTCATCCTGTTGACCCTGAAAGAAGAACAAGAGGAGTACATTCGGGAGGTAGCCAATTTTTCTGAGTCACACGTGGTTCATAAATATTCTATGCCATCAAATACATGCAGATTCTCATATTCGGTGCTTAAATGTCAAACGCAACATGGGCTTTCTTTTGAAGCCAATATTTGAATTTGTGATTCTTTGTGGTTAGTGGGCTGGATTGTCTGGCCACCATAAAAGAAGGATTGGAAGCTGTACAGTCCCCAGAAGGTCCATACAGACATGACCTTTTGTGTTTTCAGAAAGTTACATGGATGAGATGTTTGCTGCTTCCCAAAACAAATGCTGTGATGCTTAGAAAATAAAACTGCACCAGGAGCAGCTCTGCTTCTGGGAGATAAAGCAAAGTGGCTTATTTTCCCTTCTTCCTGGAGTGGCAGCCATTACAGGCAATACTTAACAGAAGCATTGAAAGGGCTCAGAAGCGCATGGAGCAGTTCTGCTTCTGGGAGATAAAGCAAAGTGGCTTATTTTCCCTTCTTTCTGGAGTGGCAACCATGACAGGCAGTACTTAACAGAAGCACTGAAAGGGCTCAGAAGTGCATGGAATGCAGTTGCAAAGTATGTAATAAATAGGCATGGAGGTTTGTTAACTGTATGGATAACGTACATGTGGCTTGTGGTAACTACCAAAGGGAGTTTGGTGTAGTGGTTAGGTGCGCGGACTCTAATCTGGGAGAACCGGGTTTGATTCCCCACTCCTCCACTTGCACCTGGCTGGGTGACCTTGGGCAAGCCATAACTCTGGCACAGCTGTTCTTGAAAAAGAGCAGTTTCTGTCAAGAGTTCTCTCACCCCCACCTACCTCACAGGGTGTCTGTTGTGGGGAGGGGAAGGGAAAGGAGTTTGTAAGCCACTCTGAGACACCTTTGGGTAGTGAAGGACAGGGTATAAATCCAATCTCCTCTCCTCCTCCTCCTCCAATGGCAGACATGCCTTGAAGGTATTCTTCTGGCTAGTGTTATCCTTTGTAAGGGAGAATTTCATGCTGTAAGGGAGAATTTTGTGCTGTCCCATACAGTTTAGAATTGCTGTTACTAGTGGCCTTCTGTTGCTCCTTAGTAGGGTGTAAATACCACTACCCTGATCAAGACGGCCCAGGCAAGCCTGATTTTGTCAGGTCTCAGATGCTAAGCTGGGTTGACTCTGATTAGAACTTCAGTCGGAGACCACCAAGGAAATCTAGGGTTGCCATGCAGAACCAGGCAATGGCAAACCTCCTCTATTAATTTCTTAGCCTGAAAACCATATAGGGTCACCATAAATCACTTGTGACCTGACAGGACTTTCCACTGTTACTGAACACCTCCAGGGTCCACCTGGAAACCAGGGAAATAGCATGTTATTTGATAAACCAGATTAAGGTCATTTTTAAAAGTTACAATCTTTGTCTGATTCAGGTGAGTAGCCATGTTAGTCTGAAGCAATAAAATAAAGTTTGAGTCCAGGGGCACCTTTAAGACCAACAAAGGCTGCGGTCACACGGAGCATTAGCCACGCTACAGAGACGGAAGATAGGTGGATTTTCTGGGCGCGATCACACCGCAACATCTGGGAAACGTAGAGCTCCCGTGGCTCACCCGAGGCTTCCCGCCAAAGATGCAGGGTAAAAAACTAGTACCTCCGAGGTACTAGTTTCCGGAAACCATGGGGCAAGGGCGGGCGTCTGATCGCGTTTCTGGTGGTAGGTCATGGCATCTGGCGCCTGCCCATGTCCCGTCGCTAAAAGTTTTTTTAAAAAAGTCTCCACGGGATGCGCACAAGCACCCAACAGCGCATGCGCACACTTCGTTTAAAAACAAACAACACAGCCCCCTCCTCTTTTCCATACCCTCCCCACTCCTGGCTCGGCCTGCTCTGGAGTTCTCTCTGCACCGGGTGGCAGAGGGGGAGGTGCAGGGGGGCGTGGCGGGAGGGTGGCCGGCTGAAGCTCCTCCTGGAGGGGACCTGACGGAGGACACAGTTTGCATTCCTCTGCAGCCTTGGAAGGGGTTAAACCCGCTGAGCCTTTTGCTAGAGAGGCTGCTTCTTTGCCACGCCGCAGGATTGTCCTGTGATCGGCACCTCCCCCCTAACCACAGGACCTCGACGGGAACCTCGAGGGGATGTCTGATCGTGCAGCCGCGCGTTATTTTGCTCCGGGGCAAACAGCCACACTTCCCCCCCGCATTTTCCAGCCCGTGTGACCGGGGCCAAAGTTTAATTCCGGGTTGCATGCACACGAAAGCTTATACCCAGAGTTCAACTTTGTTGGTCTTAAAGGTGTCACCGGATTCAAACCTTAGCATTTGTCTGAGTGATATTACCCAGTGCCTTCACCCCTTTTCAAAGAGCTGCATCCTAAACCAGCATCTTTTAAGTTCCATATTAGTTGTTGCTTATATGTTAATGAAGAGGGGTGCTAATGATGGCCATTTGGCTCCTCTACATTGTCATTTGGCTCCTCCACGAACGTGTCCACATTTTTGATACAATGATTTTTGATGATTTCTGATGATCTCTGATGCTAGGCAAGTTCTTTGGAACTCTTTTTTTTTTTTTTAAGAATTTTACTCGTTTATACATAAAAAGAGGGAGATGGAAAAGAAGGGAAAAGAAAAGGTACAGAAATAGATATTAAAAAGTCCAGTTTAACATTCTGCGTGCATATCTTCTCATGAAAGCTTCACAGCTATTATAACCATCATTCTTGTTGTTCTTAATTTAATCTTAGTTTCTCAGTACTTGTGACTTAAGCAGTCATAAATGCCCTCCCTGGTCCCATAAATTCTTCTTCCATTTCTCCTTTTAATATATTTGTCAATCTGTCCATTTCTGCACAATCCATAATCTTCGTTATTAACTCATAAAGCATTGAGATTTTCAATGTCCTCCATGCTGTTGCAAATAAAATTATGGCTGCTGTTATAACATGTAAAATAAAGTATCTATGGTTCTTATCTAAGTCATCTGGTAAACAGTTTAACAGGAATATCTCTGGTTTAAAAGGTATTGTAATATTCAACACTGACTGTAAGACAGTATGTACTCCAATCCAATATTTATGAACCTTTTTACATGTCCACCACTTATGACAGTATGATCCAACATGATTGTTACATTTCCAACATTTGTTACTCAAGTTTTATACATTTTGGGGTTAGGTGCCATCTATAGAAACAGATTTAGTCAACTTAATATTCACATTCCATATTTTACTCCATTGTAACAAATCTATGTTGTAACCAACATTTTGCACCCATTTGACCATACATTCTGCACCGTTGTCAAACTCCCTGCATATAGGGGAGGGGTACAGAGCTAACCAGCTCCACTGGGGAGAGTTGCCTTCAATTGCTTCCTCCCTGCCTACCCTCTCTCCTTTGAAGTGGGGGTGTTGGCCATTGGCCAGGCACCATAAGTATATTTCAGAGTGAACCTTACTGCGATTCTTCCCTAAAACTGCTGATAGTATTTGTCTCCTTCCATAGGGCATTGCATGGACTCCTGTGGACTTCTTCGATAACAGCGTCATCTGTAACTTGATTGAGGATGTAAGTTGTTTTCAGAAATAGAAAGGAATGGGGATTAATTGAACTTCAGATGTTTCTCCCTTTTAGCCATTTTTTTGTGAGGGGAGGGTCAGTGGGTCAGTGGGTCAGCACCTGCATTGCATGAAGAAGGTCAATGGTACAAGTTGGCCTGGCCTGGCACTAGCAGCCACTGTGCAATTTGGCCACACTTTTCCCAGAAGGGATTGCTAGGAGGAGAGAAAGCTGAAGGCGGGGCAGGCTGATAAAGGCAGATTGGCTGGTGGATGGGAAGAAGGAAGAGGAAATGGGAAGAGCCTGTGGGGGCTGCCAGGGGAGGAAACAGTGAGAGAGGGGGATACAGGGGGAAATGAGATACCCCCCCACAAGTCTTTTGTGGGTCCTCCACTTTAATAGTAGCAGCAACAACAACAACAACAATGGTGCCACAGTTGCTGTATATTGATTTCATATCATTTGTGTACTGGGTGCTTTTCCAGAGTCGTGTAAATAAAAAACAGATTCCTTTCCCTGGGAGTTTACACATTTACTTAGGATTGCCTGGTTTAGGATTGCACTGTTAGACACTGTTAGTCAATGGTAAGAGTGAAAGACAACCAGGAGATGGAGAGGGTCAGAGTATACCAGGGATAAATGTAAACAAATATAGATACATGAACTTCAGTTTTGTTTCAGCAAGGGAGGAAGCCTGACGAGTGAAGGAGTGGACCACAAATTGTATTTGGGCTTAGTAGCCAACATTGTTTCTAGCTGCTGATAGGAACATGAAAAATGCCTTTGAGCAACCCAGACCTTCTCCGTGCAGAGTCAAGGCACAGGGCTTACGAGACAGATGACTCAACTCCCGCCCCAGGTCTACATTTCTGCATCTCTCTTTTAAAGAATGAAATGTCGTCTTCCCATTGTCTCCTGGAGCCAGTATCCTCCATGCCCAACTCCGTTTCTTACCCCTCACCATTCAGTAGTCCTTTACAAGAGGAGAGCTTTACAGATACAGCCAATGATAGCCAGCATTGCCTCAGAAAATGCCAGGAGATTTTTGAGAATGGTGCCTTGGAGTTTGGGGTGTGTGTGTGACATTACTTCCAGGTGATGCTCTAGGACAGGGTTGGCCAAACTTGCTTAACATAAGCGCCACATAGAATAAACATCAGATGTTTGAGAGCCGCAAAACATGAACAAATATTACATATTTTTTATTTGGAAAATATGCAGATTTGCTTTTTATTAACATTAAATGAGACTGCCAAAAATAATAACAAAAAGGGGTAAAAGCAGATATTGATAATGATATTTATTTGTCCAATGATATTTGTTTGCTAATGATATTTAGCTTTCCCAGCTCCCCTGCCGGGAGCCGTACAATATGTGTGAAAGAGCCACATGCGGCTCCCGAGCCACAGTTTGACCACTCCTGCTCTAGGAACTTCCCATGATCTCTATGGTAAACAGTCTGTTTGGTTGTGAGCCCCTGTAGAGCTGACACTTTGGGGACATTTTTGGAAGGACCTCCTGCTAATGCATATGTATACAGAGCAAGAACGCCACGCTTCCTCTGCCTTCTTTTTGCAAGCTTGCTGACAAGAGAAGTAGGACGGCAAAGGAAGATAACACAGCAACAGTGGAGATGTTCCTTTTTGCACAGGCAGTATCAGAGTCTCTGGCTCCTCCTCTTTCATAGTCATGCAACTGTGATATCAGCTTCCTGTCATATTCTTAGTGGGTCCCCATGCTAGCACTGAGGGGCTAAAGTTGGGTCCCAGTTGTGAAAATGTTGACGGCCACTGCCAAACAATTCTGTAAGGTAGGCAGGTTTTGCAAGCGGAGAGGCTGTTCAAAGGTTGCCAGTTCATTGGTGAGATGACCTGAAATCTGACCCTTTTCTGGGCTCCTGGCTTGCGTCCCCTCTCAGGAATGTAGCCGTCTTTCCCTCCCATTTCTAGAAGCAAGCTGTTGTCTCCTGTAGTGTTTGTCACAGGACCAGCAGCTGGGACAAATGCCCAGTTGATCCAACTGAGACCAATGCTAGTGAGAAGGAGTGTGGGCAGAACCGTGCTGTAACTGTTTTTGTGTGCGCGTGCAGAACACAGGTGGGATCCTGGCCATGCTGAATGAGGAGTGCCTTCGCCCAGGGCAGGTGAACGAAGCGACTTTCCTGGCCAAACTCAACCAAGTATTTAAAGACCACCAACGCTATGAGAGCAGAGTCACCCAGAATGCCAAACATATCATGGATGCCAGCATGCTTACGGACTGCTTCCGTATTCATCATTATGCTGGCAAAGTGAGTAAGATTTTTTCCCTCAGCTGTCAGTGGGAAGGGAAGGGGAATCCAGCATGAGGGATGTGGGAAGTTACTGTGTCCACTAAAGCGCAGGCCTACCTAAGCCACTGAGTTTCTTCCACCTCAGGTGACCTACAATGTGACTGGCTTCATAGAGAAGAACAATGACCTGCTCTATAGGGACCTGTCACAAGCCATGTGGAAGGCCAAGCACGAGCTGTTACGCACCCTGTTCCCTGAAGGGGACCCCGAAAAAGCCTCACTCAAGCGTCCACCAACCGCTGGCTTCCAGTTCAAAGCTTCTGTGGCCACCCTCATGAAGAACCTCTACTCCAAGAAGCCCAACTACATCAGGTAACTAAATGTGTGTGGGGTACATGTGCAGAACCGAGGGCAGAACTCTTGAGTTATACTTGGATGTGGTGGACAATCTGGAGTCTGGACAAGAGACAGACAAATGAGCTGATTTAGTGAGGTTGTTCCCTTTGCCACTAGGTGCATCAAGCCCAACGATACCAAGGCACCTGCTGTGTTCACCGATGCACTGGTTCGGACACAGGTGCGCTACCTTGGCCTGCTGGAGAATGTGCGAGTTCGAAGAGCTGGCTATGCCTATCGCCAAGGCTATGGGCCATGCCTGGAGCGCTACAAAATGCTCAGCAAGGAGACCTGGCCACACTGGAATGGAAGCGCCAGGTAGGATGGAGAAGCTGTTATGTTCTGACAGTGACTTAGGGAAAAGGTATCCAAGGGATTGGTAAGTGAGGCTAAGTGGGGAGATTGGGATGGCGTTTGCTTGGCAGGGAACACTGGAAAAAACTTGTGTCATTGTGGAACAGTCGCTGAGAATACTGGTGTGTGTGTGGGCCACCCCTTTTAACAAATGTTGGTCTCCCAAGCCTAGAGATGGCACAGAGGTCGAGATCTTCCTTTTAGGCCAACCACTTGGAACTGCTGTTTGAACTTCAGCAAGGGTATTTGGAAGAGGGACTGGCTGGAGCGCCTGTATCTGGCAGGATCTGTCCACACCCTGGACTGTAGTTATGGGAAGGGTATTTAGGCTCTAGTCCCTTCATGGATATGTCAAGCCACTTCCCTGAATTTAATAAAGCTTGTAATTAAGACAAAGAAGTCTCAATTCCTATTACTTGTATGACTGATTTCCATCAAGTCAAACATGACTCATGGCGACCCCCAGGGCTGTGGGGTTTTCAAGGTAAAAGATCAGCAAAAGTGGTTTCTGCCATTGCCTTCCTCTGCATTAGCTCCCTTAGTCTTCCTTGGTGGTCTCCCATCCAAGGACTGACCCTGGCGACTCCTGCCCTTTGCTTCCAAGCTCTGATGAGATTGGGTTAGTCAGGGCTAGTCAATCAGCTGTCCCTGTTACTTATATAGGTATAAAAGGGAAGAAAAAAATATGGCTGGTATACTATTCAGCAGAGTTTCAGTAAGACTGCTGACTCATTTTGCCCATAAGTACAAATGTATTGGGATGATAGACAAACACATGGCACTTATTTTTTAATGTTATTTAAAGCTAATATTGCTTTGTTAAAACTTAATTCATGCATTGATTAAAACATATTAGACTACTTATATTTTGGTTCCCCTGCCCAGTCTTTTCCACTTTCCACCTACGTGTCTGTCTGTAACGGTGGTCAGGCCATTGCCTTCCTCTGCATAGCTCCCCTAGTCTTCCTTGGTGGTCTCCCATCCAAGTACTGACCCTGGCCACCCCTGCCCTTTCCTTCCAAGCTCTGATGAGATTGAGTTAGTCAGGGCTAGTCAGTCAGCTGTCCCTGTTACTTATAGAGGTATAAAAGGGAAGGAAAAAAGATTGCTGGTATTCTATTCAGCCGAGTCTCAGTAAGCCTGCTGACTCATTTTGCCCATAAGTACAAATGTATTGGGATTTCCACTTTCCACCTACGTGTCTGTCTGTAACAGTGGGCAGATGGAAAACCCAGTGTCTGGTGCACAAAGGAGAAGAGAAGAAGACCCTGAAGGGGGCAGCAAGAAGATAATTAGGATAGTGAGAAGAGCACCTTCTCTTCTGTTAAGTGTCATTCCTTGTCTGTCTCCAGATTTCTACTCTTGGGGCAATTTCCTGCTTCTCCTTGGAAGTTCCACATTCAGTCTCCTCTCTCTCTCAGCTAGAGATGTACTTAGGACCCTGGCTCTGGCTCTCCTCTTTCCTGTCAAGTATATTAGTTCTTAAATAAACCTTTATCTACTCTTTAATCAGGTTGCGCGCCATTGCTGTTAATTACTCTGCCAAAAGACCTAGTCTGCACTGACAAACCAAAGTACTGCCTGACATTGGTCACATCTGCTGCACCAGTTAAAAAGTGAGACCTACATTGCCTGAGTTGTGATTGGGCTAGGTAATCTTTGATCTCTTTCCCATTACAGAAATGGCGTTCAAGCCCTCTTGGACAGCCTGCCAATCGATCCCAAGGAGCTGGCATATGGACACACCAAGATCTTCATCCGCACCCCTGCTCAGGTGAGCTGCTGATATTCGAGGAAGAGGGGAATGGGGTGTAAGGTGTGGGAGAGCTTGCTAGTTTTGCCAGAGTTGAGAGGAAGAAAGAATATTGGCGCTGTGCTGCTTAGTCTCCATTTTGGATTGGCGGGCTTAAACTTGGATGATGTTGAAGATTCTCTCCCCAAATACTTAGATTTTGCAGATAGCCAGAGTTCATTTCGGGGGGGGGGATCGCGGGGGATCGCAGTTCCCCTGGGTGAGGTATGGGGGGCGGGGCACATGACGAAGCCCCGCCCCCTGCTTCCGGCCACCCCGCTTCTGGCCCTCATTCAGCCAGGAGGAGGCAGGAGAAGAGGGAGGGTAAGTTGCTTCCTCCCTGCCTCTCC